TTTTGACTTTAATTACGGACTATCTAATTAGACAGATTTGTTATTAAATATATTATTTTATGTTACCACAGTTTTAAATGTCTCAACTCTTTCAAGTCAATTGTCTGTTATTGAAACCTTGACTGAGAAGTGAGAATAATTATGTGAGATGGAAACGAGACGTAGAAATAGCACTTTATCTTTTGGGGTTGAATTTTGCAATGGAAAAGTAGCTTTCGAAACTCACAGATAAAAGTGATCATGAATATGTAGCCGAGTATGAAAAGTGGAAAATGACTAAAAGACTTCGTTTGAAAATTATTAAGTGCTCTATATCCGATTTCATTATGGGTCCTATTCCGGATAATGAAAATACTAAAGGTTTTGTGGATGTCATAGGATTGAGATTTGTTGAGTGATAAAGTTGAAACTAGAAATCTGATGGACAAACTGATGAATATGAGATATGATGGTATAAGTAGAGTTAGGGAACACGTTATGAAAATGATTAATATATTTTCTAAATTAAAGGCTCTTAAGATTCGCATTGTTGAGCATTTTCTGGTCTATCATGTTCTGAATAGCCTTCCAAGCCAGTTTAATCGGTTGAATGTTGCTTATAATGCTCAAAGAGATAAATGAAATTTGAATGACCTTATTGCTGTATGTGCCCATAGGAGTATAGGTTGAGGCGTGGAAAATGTCAAAAATGTGCAATTAGCTTTTCTGCCACCACAGAAAAAGGGGTCTTTTCATAACCATAAGTCTAAGTTCCACAAGGGCAACAAGTTACACCACGATTAGCAAAATAAAAATTTTGGAGGTCAGACTTCTGGTGGTCCCAAATGATTGATAAAGAAAAATGATCAATGCAAGTTCTACAAGAAGAAGGGGTCATTGACAGAAAGATTGTTTTAAGTTTAAGACTTGGTTGGAGAAGAAGAAGAGTTCCGCAGGTATCTCCTTGGCCTTAGTTTGTTACGAGTCTTCTTTTATAGATGTTTCTTTGAATTCTTAGTTGTTAGACTCGGGAGCCAGTATTCATATTGCAAATTCCTTGCAGGGGTTTACAAGCAAACAGAGGCCAAGTGAGAATGAAGTAAGCCTATGCGTTGGGAATGGAGTTCAATAGAATGTTGAGTTCATAGGAGTAGTGAAGTTATTTTTCGAATTTGGTTTCTCTCTTGTTTTAGAAAATACTGTTTTTGTACCGACAATGAGACAGAATTTAATTTCTATATCGAAACTTGATGTTTCTGGTTTTTATTTTAATTTTTTGGTAATGGAATGGTTGAATTGATTTATGATTCTCGTTTGATTGGAAATGGTCTCTTATGTGGTGGTTTATATAAATTGTCTTTGACTTCTTTTGGTGAAGTCTCTTGTATTGCGAATGTGTCAAAGCAAAGGCCTCTTATTCGTAAATCATCCTTCATGTTGTGGCATAAGCGGTTGAGTCACTTTTCAAAGGATAGTATGGAGAAATTGGTTAAAGTTGAGAAACCTTCCTCTCTCGACTTCTTTGATTTTGACATTTGTGTGGATTGTATAAGAGGAAAGTAATCTAAATCCACTAGAAAAGGTTCCATTAGGAGTGATTTTAATGTTGGGCATATTGTTGACCATGTTACTTTTAATCAAACATTGACAAGTCCCGAGTCACATAAATGGATAAATGCTATGGATGATGAAATGAATTCTATGGAATAGAATAAAGTTTGGGAACTAGTTGAACTTCCTCCGGACGCTAAAGCCATAGATAACAAGTGGATCTTCAAAAGAAAATTGGACTCAAAATGTAATGTTGAACGAAAGAAGGCGAGAATGGTTGCAAAAGGGTTCACTCAACGAGTGTGCATTGATTATAATAAAACTTTTTCACCTGTTTCGTCCAAAGATTCTTTTCGAATCATCATGGGACTTGTGACATATTATAATTTGGAACTTCATCAAATGGACGTTAAGACGACTTTTCTGAATAGAGATCTTTTGGAAAGGGTTTACATGAGACAACTTAAATGTTTTGTCATGAAGAGAAAAGAAAACTTGGTATGTAAGTTGAATAAATCCTTATATGACCTTAAACAAGCATCACGACAGTGGTATTTGAAGTCTGATGAGGTTGTGACTTCTTATGGTTTTGTTGAAAATACAATTGATCAATGTATTTATCACAAAATTAGTGGGAGAAATTTTATTTATCTTGTCCTAATGTTGATAACATTTTACTTTCAAGCAGTGACTTGATGTTACTTCATGAGACAAAGAAGATGTTATTTGCTAATTTTGAGATGAAAGATCTTGGAGAAACTACTTATGTGCTTGGCATTGAAATACATCGTGATAGAAATCATAGCGTGTTGGGACTTTCTCAGAAGGCTTATATACGACGTGTTCTAGAAATATTCAATATGCAGAAATGTGCACCTGGTGATGTACCTATCATAAAAGGGGATAAGTTTAACAAAACTTAATGTCCAAGGAATAAGTTGAAAAGAGAATCTATGAAGATGATTCTATATGCTAGTGCTGTGGGGAGTTTGATGTATGCTCAAGTTTGCACTAGACCGAATATAGCTTGTGCAGTCAATGTTCTCAGTAGGTTTCAGTTGAATCCAGGGCAAGAACATTGGAAAGCGGCTAAAAAAGTTATGAGATACTTAAAAAACACCGAAAGTTACATGTTCACTTTCCAGCGTTCAAATCACATTGAGGTCAGATTTTGATTTTGTTGGACGTCGATGATTTGAAATCCACCTCGGGTTCTATTTTCATGTTGGTTGGTGGTGCTATCTCATGGAAAAGTGTTAAGTAGATTCTAGTGGCATCTTCTACTATGCAAGCTGAATTTGTGACATGTTATGGAGCTACAATTCAAGACGTTTGGTTAATGAATTTTATTTTTGAGTTGAAAGTTGTTGACTCCATCTCGAGGCTAATCACTATTTATTGTGACAACAATGCAGCAGTGTTCTTTTCAAGAAATAATAAAAATTCTAGTGGATCGAAACACATTGAAAAGTTCTAGTGGATCGAAACACATCGATATCAAATATTTGGTAGTTAGAAACAGAGTCAAATAGGGGCAGACGAAAATAGAGCATATCAATACAGAAGCAATGAATGCAGATCCTTTGACTAAGGGACTCACTCCTAAAGTTTTTAAGACACATGTTGTTAATATGGGTATTGTGGAAACTTTTGATATTTTTGGTTAGTGGAGTTATTTATGTAAGACAACCCATATTTTTTTTTAGTACAGCCTCTTCCAATAATAAAATAAAATTTTCCCTATTCGTAAATTATTTTGAGCATGTATTTGACTTATATCTTTTATTATGATATTATTTTGATCTCGTGATATGACAGTTAAAGACATAAAATGAGTCTCTTTTAGAGACATGTGGCTTCATTTTGATTAGAAGCATTTTGAGGACCGATATGAATTAGCACAATTTTTTTTATCACATTTGGTGCTAAGTTCATACTGCATACTACCACATTGGTTGGAGGATGGTGATCCATGTCGATAAGGATGTTGGCATTTGTAGCTGTGGAGTGGTCTTACATTGTTTGATTGGTGTAACGACTTCAATGTTCGATGTTGACATTCTTGTTGGATCAGATCATGTTATGTAATGTGTTATCATTGCAGCTATACTTGTGTGGCTACCTATGTAGTCTGGCCCGAAAGATAAAAGTTTTGTTCTACAGCAATCAAATATTTGCCCAAGTGGGAGAATGTTAGAATAATTCTATTATGTGTGCGCTTCCATTTGATTGCGAATTTTACGGGTTAGATGTATGATTTGCAATAATACAGTAATTAGGCCAAATGTGTTAGTCATCACTTAGGCCGTTGT